CATCAAAAACCCGTCACTTTCTTCGAAAGTCAGAGCAAAAAATTATGTTTTTGGTTCTATTAGTTTCGCATGTTGTGGTGACAATTTCCGCCGATTGGAAATTTTCCAAGTTTCTTTCAATCGATTGAAATTTATTTTTGAATATATCAAATATTATCATTTGCGCGAGGATTGTAGTAATTTTTATTCGTTAGCAAAAACTCTAAGGATTTTCAGTTTTTGAAAAGCTTCAGAAATTTAAGAAATAGCTATAACCAACTAGTATAAATAATTAGTTTATACATGACCGACTGAATTCTTGAGATTTTCAGGTACCACCACATAGGCGCTAAAAATGATGGATCACTCGTGACTCCCAAGAAAGCCATGACAAAAGAAAAGATGTGTGAATTTGAGGTGAAGACCATAGGAGTCCACACAAAGACTCCAGCAGGCTGGAAAGTACTCAACGCTGCCGGGTGAAAACTCCGAAACAACGAATAAATGGCCTAAAATTTATTGAGAAAAAGTCTGTCCGTTTTTGCAATTAAACCGAGTAAAGCTTATTTTGTTTTACAATATTTAGAGCATCAAGCGGGTCATGCACAATTCAATGAGACAATTCAACCTAGTTGAATTCATAGATTTCATTGTAGGATTGGATTTCGTCATTCTTTTGCAGTCGATTTCGCATTTTTTCCCGTTTTTTTTTAAAAACATTAATAACCTCTGTTCTGTCACTTCACGACAATATTCAGTTTGATGTTTATCCACGTTCTTACAACCTGATTATTTTTTTTACCTGTTCCTTCAAGTCAACTCAATATCAAATTTAGCAAGGTAGATAAATGTGAAATTTTCCCAAAAAAAAACTTGAAAATTGAAATTTTCTTTAGGCTAAACCAGCTTTTCTGCAAAAAATAGGACGTAATTTTTTTGCAGAAAACATTTTTTGCAGAAAGCAAACAGAATCATCATATTCTCTCGATTGAACCATTAAACTCAGAATTGGTGAAGCAGCTTTTTGAAAAAAGGTTTGCAAAGAACTATCGGAATCTCAATTTTGATTTTTCCTAATATCATGCCAATTCTTGTACAAAAACTAGGACGCAGCTGCTTTTGCAGGGAAAATTATCAAAACCTGTTCTTCCAAATGAAGCGATAGCCGTGGAGTCATTTCTACAGGTAGGGCTTTCAATTGATATATCACCCAACCCATTCGATGACTGTTTGTGGTTCCTGATTTTGCGCGGAAAACAAAACCGGACTGCTCGTGCCAAGACGAAGCCCTGAGCGTTCCGCGAACCTTTCAAGCACTAAGGAGTAATGTTTACTTGAAGAAATTGATAAAAATAGAAAAAATAACAAGACTGTTCGTATCAGGGCGAAGCCTTTTAAGATTTATGGGGCAGTAATAACTTTAAAAAGTTAAATGTAATAAAACAAAATGAAATTTTTTTTTGAAACTTGATTTTTTTATTATGAAAATCATCCCCCAACACGCCATATAAAGAACAAAAGGATAGATTTCGCACCTTGTAACATGTATGGCAAATAACCAATTTGGAACGATTTCTAAGACGGATTAACTCTCCGCTTACGTGTTAGTAGAGCGAATTATATCATGCGTTAATTGTCCCAAATTGGCCAAAATGCCAATCTTTAAACCCCCATGGCTTTACAAAAAATGATCACAGGTGAAATATTTTTTCAAATTTAAGCTCAGAACAACAATACTTTTCGAATGATTTGTGAAAAATTCCGTCAAAAATGGCTAGTTAAAAAGTCGAAATTTGTCTGAAGAAAAAAAAACCACCCCGAGCACAAATATTCCGTTACTTTCGTATCGAAAGTCGGAACAATAATAACAATAGTTAATATCTAAAGTGCCAATTGTGATTCTTTGTCTATAGCAAAGTATTTCAGAGACCAGACAGTCTGAATCATTTCAATTTGGAACGATTTCTATGATGGATTAAATCTCTGCTTACGCAAAAATAGCGCAAAACATATCGAGCGTTAATTGTCCTAATTTGGCCAATAATCCAATTTTTAAAAGCTCATAATTTTATGAACATTTTCTCAAATCACACATTTTCTCAAATCACAACATTTTCTCAAATTGAAATCACACTTTTCCAATCTTAAAAAGCTCATAATTTTATGAAAATAATCACAGTTGTCTATTTACGATCACTTCAGGACAACAATCACTTTTAATTGATATAGAAAATTTCAGTCAAACACAGTTATTTCAGTCAAAAACAAGGTCTGGAGAAAAAATATAATCCGCCTTGCGCACAAAAAATCGGTCACTTTCTTCAAAAGTCGGAACGAAAACAACTAGCTAAAGCACATTGAACACAAACTTCTTCCCAATTTTAGGAGAAAATAAAAAATTGATTACTGAAATTTGTTTTTTGGAAACTATCTTCTATTTTTATATGTACACCACGGATGAACTTGTTTTAGAAGCATGCATTTAGAAGCATGCATAATAGAAGTGCAAGCTATTTCTTTGAAAAATTACAAGTTAAAAACAATCGGCAATCTAGGAGGTTGACATCAGCTCAGGATTAAAAAAAACTGTCTGGAAAAAGGGAAAAAGTACTGTAAGGACAATAGCCTCAATTTTTCTAGTCATTAATTGAGTTGCCACCTTGCAAACTTGCCACTGATGACCCAGAAGCACGTTCAACAATCCTAGTATCATGGTGAAGCTCTGGAAAGTTTTGGCTGTCTTTGGAATTTTGAAGTTAAATCAGTTTCAAAACTGACAATCGCTTAAACAATGATAAAATTTGAAGTTTTGAGAAACCTTTTCCAACGCTCAGTCTGAAGTAAAAAGTCATATCTATTGACACATTAATTGGATCAATGTACGCACCGCAAACCAATTTAAAAGAAGTTGTAGGCTGAACCCGACTTCTTGTATATCAGAGCGAAGCGCTGAATGTTCCGAATGCACTTTAAGACCAATTTACAAAATCATCGAAAAAATAATTAAAAGAAGCATGTTTCTTTGTTCTTCAATGTATTCCCCACACGCTAATGCGAACTACCAAGTGATGCATCTTACTAGTGCGACTAAATGCCCCAATTTAATTTGAAACGCATTAGTCTTCCGCGCTTACACATATTATAAGAATGCAAAACATTGCGCGTTAATCATTCCAAATTAGCAACTTTCAAAACCCCATATTTTTAGTAGAAATGATTACAAGTGAATTAACTTTTTAAATTTGAGCTCAAGATAAGAATTTCTTTGAGATGTTGTAAAAAAAAAATTTTAAAAGGCTTGGTTAAAATTGGAACACTAAGTTTGAGTAATTTGCTAGGCGTCAATTAAAATCTGATAAAAAAAATTGCAGCGGAAAAATCTTTTTGTTCCGATTTTCGATACGAAAGTAACGGAATATTTGTGCTCGGGGTGGGTTTTTTTTTTCTTCAGACAAATTTCGACTTTTTATTTAGCCATTTTTGACGGAATTTTTTTGTATCATTCAAAAAGTATTGTTGTCCTGAGCTTAAATTTGAAACGATATTTCACCGGTGATCATTTTTCGTAAAGTTATGAGGGTTTAAAGATTGCCATTTTGGCCATTTTGACCAATTTGGGACAATTAACGCGCGATATGATTCGCGCTTTTAACGCGTAAGGGGAGATTCAATCCGTCTTATAAATCGTTCTAAATTGGTTGAACGAAGCTTATTTGCCATAATTGATTTATTACAAGGAACTAAATCTATCTTTTTGTACTTTCTATGGCGTGTGGGGGGATGATTTTCAAAAAAAAATTCAAATTTTAGAAAAAAACAATTTCATTTTATTTTATTTCATTTAATTTTTTTACGTTATTGCTGCTGCTCCATAAACCTTAAAAGGCAGTCTGAACATTCAGGGCTTCGCCCTGATACGAGCAGTTTTGTTAAATTTGAGATCAATCCATTTCAAAAACATTAATTAATAAGTAGAGGATGGTTTCAAATTGAAAGAAAAATCCCAAGCATATATATTCTGTTATTTTGTGTCAAAAGGATAGAAGAACAATTAAAAATTGATATTTGATACGGTAAATTTCTATTATTTTTCGTTTTGACGCCAATTTTTACAACTCAGAAGTGTATTAAACGTCCAGAATAGCCTATCTAAAACAGTTTTTTTGTATGTACTGTAGCATCTTTGAAAGCTTTTTCTGTATGAACTGAAGAGTATATGAAAAGATTGCATGTTGATTATTGGTGTTACCAAGCTCGGTAGTCGTATTTGAGTTGGTGACAAGTCAAAGCAAATAAAACATGTACAACAACGTGTGGCTTACACCAATGCAGAAACCATTTTTTTCGATGCTCTCAACATTTACTCAAAATTGTTTCAGTTACAATATACAGAGCTTCTGTTGAGCTGTTGACCAAAATATAAAAATATTTTTTGGCATTTTTTAAACATCTTGTCAAAAAACTTTTTTGAACGAGCAGTTATTCGTTTTAACATACCTGTTTTGCTATTGCTCTACTTTTTTGCATGATACACAGATCGAAGTGTTCGGCCTAAGTTTCGACCAAATTGATTGAAAGCACTGACTGTGTTTGAAGGCACTGACTGTGTCAAAAACAGCCCATCCACCGAACGCAAACTCAGATCATAGTCGAAACATTGACTGAGCACTATGTCGAAAGGTAGTCAAAGCCTGAGGAGAACTCGGAAGTAAAATGCATATAATCTTGCACCAAAATTTCATTATGAAACCTTAGGCATATTGGGTCGAATCGTATAAAAAATAGCACAGACGTCAGTTGAAGCATAGTGTTTTGGGTTGAACACGGTCAAACACAATTTCAATCTGTCGATTTGCTCCAAAATTAAAATTTTGATAGGAGTAGAAGCGTAGCTTACTTGAGTCGAACACAGTTGAACAAAAATTTGTTCGGTCAAAGTAATTTTCTTGAGTCGAACACAATTTTTTTGATTGAACGGAACGAACAAAAATATTTTCACGGACACTATCGGAGACAGTATCATTCGGTCAATTTTGCTTGGGTCGAACACAGCCGATCTCAGTTTTGGGTAGAAGCGATTGAAACAAGCTGTCGATTCTGTCAAATTATAGAACGCCTGACGAACACATTTTATTTGAACACTTTTTAAATGTAAAATCACGCTGAACAAATTGGGACAGAAAATTTGACTACTTCAACCGTAAATTCGATTCTTCCTGAAAAAAATTTTGCCCTGACAGCTATGGATTAAGATTACAAAAATCATGATTAGAAGAAAAACCCCGATATATGAAAGCAATTTGCAGTTCAAAACCAAGCAAGATTTCATTGAAAATGGAGAAAAGCTATTTCAAAAAAATTGTGAAGCTAAACACCTGCCTTTATTTTTCCCCGAAGTAAGCAGCACTGTATTAGAACAACTTCCATTGCGCCCAGATTTATACAACCGACACGAGGACACCTGCAACAAAATCATCTACAATGCCCTGAAAACTCTTCGACAACCAGTTCTGGTTTTGCATGGAATTACATTTAACCACAATCAGTTCTATATGTGGGATCCAAAACATGATCCAGAAAAATGCGCCAAAAGCGACGATATTCCAAATTGTTCAAGCGATCATAACTCGACGGATATGGGTAAGATTGACTTCCTGATAATTGCGCCTAAGTGTATAGTGGCGATTGACACTCATCCAAGAAACATGATTAAGCCGGATACAATCAAGAAAAAATTGTCCAATCAACGAACAGCATTTCAGTTGATCGATCGAATTGGCAAAAAAGATATGTGTGGAAATGCATCAGATGTGTCCGATCAATATAAGTTTTTTCAAACTATTTTATTGCCGCCATTAGACCTAGACAAGGCTCTGAAGAATTACAACCAAATGTCAGAGCTTAAGCTTATGAGAGATACTGATTATCTAGATTTCAATTCCTGGTGGGATAGAAATATCCTGGCACCAAGTTCCAACCAAGGCAAACTTGTTTATGGAGACATCGATCTGATTCAGAAAACGATGTTTGCGCTGTGGAGTCACAGAAACGATGACGTAAAAGTTCCATTTGAATTGCATCAGCCGAAAGTCTATGAGAACTTGTTTCAACAGTTTTCGAAAAAGACTCTAGACTGTCTTACCGATGGCAAAGAAGAATCATTACTGGAAATCGCTAAAATGGTGTTTGACATTTTTTCTGACAATGAACAACCAGAAGAAAATGAAATCAAGGAACTTGCAGCGTCTGTAAAGTTTTTTTGGGACGATGAGAATTTCAGGAAGCTTTTTATGACGCCCAATGAGCTTCTGAGCTCTTACCGCCAAACTAAGATAGCAAAAAAGATGAGCAGCAAAAAAGATTACATTTCAGTGAAAAATGATGTGCTGGAAACATTTTCCCTTGCGTGCTTTGGTAATAATCATCCTCAAATGATTCCAGTCTGTCCCAATCAAAGTTATATTGACCTCTATCCAGAAGATCAAAAAAGCCAAAATTTAAATGACTTTACAAAACAACAAGACTACGAGGCCGAAGTGGAAGTTTACCGTGCTCTTGAAAAATTAAAAGGTGAAAACTTGACCGTAATTCACGGTATGAAGTACTCGCATTACCAGTTCAGGATGTGGGAGTCCAATCATGACCCAAAAAATTGTTCACAGAAAAAAGAAAAACCTAATTGTAACAAAAATGTTTTGCACTCAGATGAAGGTGAAAATGATTTCGTCGTTCTTGGACCAGACTACATTGTGCTCATTGAAGTGAAAAATGCCGAAAAAGAAATATCAACTGAGTCAATGTCAGGTTTTATAGCTTCGGCAGAAAAGCAAATAAAAAAACTGATTACTGTTATTAAAGGAATAACGGATGAGTCATCAAAAACTGACGAAACGAAGGTGGATAATCAGGAAACCAGTGAGAAAAAGTTAGAAAGCAAATCTGATTCAATTAGATTATATCGTTATGTGGCCTTCCCTGGTATCAATTATCAATCGAATACTGGCAGTTGCGAAATTGGTTGCATATTCAAGAGTGACTTGCAAGAATTTGCAAAATGGTGGCAAAAAGAAATAAACGACAAGACTAAATGGAACTTTGAGGAGATAACAGGTGACATCAATCTGCTTAGAAACGCCTTACGGGCTCTATGGTTAACAACAGGAGGTAAGGGACATCAAGCCGACGGAAAAACAAGCCGAAGTGTACAATAGGAATAAGTCTTTCAATTCACAGCTTAGCAGCCACCATATTGTGAAATATTAAAAGTTTCTAATTTTTTCACTTGCTTGTTGATTTTGTCAGATTTTTGATGCTTTTTAAATTTTTAAAAGCTTTTCCTCAGATTGAGCGAATAAGGTACTGTTTTTGTACACTGTAATTGCTCAAATAATGGCTTGATTAACCGTCGCTATGTTGTCCTTTAGACTCAAAAAGAGGTAACAATTTTGACAATTCTGCTATGCGTTTTGTACGGACATTAACCGATATAGACAACAAGCTCAAAGATAGCGAAATAACTTTCCTCAGTAAAAACAGAAAACTGAAGTCTGATGTATACAGAACAAGTGATTTAGCTTCGGCAGATGTAAGCGTGACAGATACAAAAGGAGTTAACAAAATAAATATTTTCCACGATATTCTGGGAATAAAATTTATCACCAAAAACCAGAAGGAAGCATTCGAAAATACATCGAAAAACTTGGTCATCACTGGATGCGCAGGATCGGGAAAAAGTTTGATTCTCATTGCAAGACTTCTGTATCAAAGCTTAACAACAGATAAGGCGAAAAAACTGCTTCTAATAGTTTTCAATGAAACAAAATTACTTGAATATAAAACAATTTTTGAACGGGCTAAAATTTACTGTGCAGATATTTCGGAAAACGATTTCAGTGAACGTGTTTTTTTCGAGAGTCGTATTGGAATTGTTCATTGCAGTACAAGTAATCAGGACTCGAATACCCGATTACTTCTACAAAATACAAGTCCAAATCTTGTTGCTTATGTCGATGACGCGCATGCATTAAAAACTGCCATATCATCTTTGAAATGTGCCTGTATAGCCGTAGACTATAACCAAAGTCATTTGTTGCGCGATGAAGTTTTCAAACCGAATTTTGAAGGCTTTGATATTTCTTCACTAAACCTCAATTATCGAAGTACATGGAATATTGTGACTAACTTGAAAAGTTTATCAGAAGCTATTACACTGAAAGAAAAAACACATCAAAACTTCACGTCTGATCATCCAGAATTTTCCCACCATCCAAGCCCGGGACATTTGATTCACGGGCCTCAAACAGAAATATATGTTATGAAAACCTTGCACAGCAAATCGCTTGCTCAATTTGTGTCATTTTACGTTCAGTTTACTTGCGAAGAAGCAGTTGACTGCTTTTTTTTCAATGTCAGTTCAGAATATTCTGCAGAATTTAAGAATTTTTCTACTTTAGTGAACAGTTTGTTGAAAAAACCACTTTGTGCTCACGTCAGCCCCTCAGAACAAAATATTTACTCCACCGAATTTGGAACGTGTGTAATATTTTTTGAGTTCTCCGATATGGACACAAAAATGCTCCGATCTCTTTATAATGTTATTTCGAGAGTCAGAGTGTTCTGTCAAATCATAGTTCATACGAGTACCAATTATGACCCTGAAGAGCTGAATGAGTTTTTGAGCATCTTCAAGGAGTCCAAAATCACATATATTAAAAGCGAGGATGAGGATTCAAAATCTCCAGATGAGTCACCGGTGTCGTGTGCAAACACTAGCAAACCAGATGAACCCAGTAAAGTTTGTAGTACGTCTGATACAAACCAGAACCTGTTAGACCTCAGCATAGACTAATTTACCATAGTAATAAATATAACGACTTACCATGCTTGTAATGAATCTATGATCAGCTTAATTTGTAACTCTACTAACAAATCGTCATATTTTAACTAGTATCTTAAATCGTTAAATATGCCTTAATTAATTTTTAGTTTCCGGCTCTTTTCCAGTCACCCTTTTGATTTTTTTCTGAAATTCATTTGATTAAAATCTATTTAAAATGACTTTTCATGTTTTAAACTCCAATAAAACCTGTCAGCGTGAACAGGTGAACAAACTTTTAAAACATTTCCAAATTGAAAAATGCCGTGTGAACAATTTTTGAACAGTTTCTTTTTGTTATTTTAAGAGGGAGTGGGAAACTGGAAAAGAGCCAAACTTCCATGTCATTCCTATAAATAAAAATTTCAATTTGTATTTTTTGTGTACCGCTGTTTTAGCATTGAACCACTGGTTGCATAGCCAAGAGGACGTTGGCTAAGATGACCTTGTACCACTCAACGGCATGTGTGTCGATATGCATGACCGTTTAGAATGCATTAGAACGAATTGCTGTCTTTGGATTTGTTCAATGACTTTCAAATTTAATTGAAAAGTCAGGCTGATTTAAATCATTTTTAATCTTTTAAAGCATTTCTCGCTTGCTAATATACACACAGGCTAAGCATCCAAACCCCCGATTTTTACAAAATTATTATCCGTTTTTTCAGATGCTCAAATTTGAGCTGTAAAATTTTAATGTAAAGATTCTGATTTTAACCCATGACTATTTTGCGCATGCGCTCTCGTTAGACTTAATAATAATGTGCAAAGCACTTCAGTTTATAAAGCTCTGTCGAAACCATTGGAGTGACACAATTTAAAAAAACTGCAATTAGAGTAAGTTTATGAGAAAAATGTATATTTGGGATTTCCAAGTTAGAACAAGACTGCTCGTATCAATGCGAAGCCCTGAATGTTCCGACTGCCTTTTAAGCAGCAGTAAAAACATAAAATTAAATAAAGTGAAATGAAATTTTTTTTTTTAAATTTAAATTTTTTATGAAAATCATCCCATCACACGCCATATAAACTGCAGAAGAATAGATTTCGCTCATTTTAACAAATCAATTATGGCAAATAAGCTTATTTCAACCAATTTGGAACGATTTATAAGAAGGATTAAACCTCCGCTTACTCGTTAATAGCGCGAATTATATCGCGCGTTAATTGTCCCAAATTGGTCAAAATGGCCAAAATGGCAATCTTTAAACCCTCATAACTTTACGAAAAATGATCACAGGTGAAATATCTTTTCAAATTTAAGCTCAGGACAACAATACTTTTCGAGTGATAAAAAATTCTTTCAAAAATGGCTAGTTAAAAAGTCGAAATTTGTCTGAAGAAAAAAAACCCACGCCGAGCACAAATATTCCGTTACTTTCGTATCGAAAGTCGAAAATAAACGTAGTTTTTCCACCCCGTTGTTTAGAACGTTGTTTTTGTTGTTGTTCTGACTTTCGATACGAAAGTAACGGAATATTTGTGCTCGGGGTGGGGTTTTTTTTTCTTCAGACAAATTTCGACTTTTTAACTAGCCATTTTTGACGGAGTTTATTTACATCATTCGAAAGCTACTGTTGTTCTGAGCTTAAATTTGAAAACATATTTCACCTGTAATCATTTTTCGTAAAGTTATGAGGGTTTAAAGATTGCAATTTTGGCCAATTTGGGACAATTAACGCGCGATATATTTCGCGCTATTAACGCGTGAGCGGAGATTTAATTCCTCTTAGAAATCGCTCCAAATTGATTCAAGGAAGCTAATTCGCCATAGTTGATTAGTTGTTAGGAGCAAAATCTATTCTTTTGTACTTTATTTGGCGTAGGGGGGATGATTTTCGTAGAAAAAATTTCAAATTTAAGAAAAAAAAAATTTTCGTTTTGTTTATTACATTTAATATGTTAATAATATTTATGTAATTACTGCTCCATAAACCTTAAAAGGCAGTCTGATCATTCAGAGCTTCGCCCTGATACGAGCAGTCTTGTTGTCTTTAATAGCACTATAAATTTTTTAGTGAAAAATAAACAGTAATTCAGTCAGAAGTTATTGATCTTTTTATATGAACAAATGTCGTCAAATTAGTGATAAAAGAGAGGTTGAAAGTTTTGTGGAAGCGTCTGTTTCCATTTATCCTCAATAAATGTATCGTATTGCATATTAGAATTTTTTTGGTTTCTGACATTTAAAATACATTCTAAAACTTACTGACACTGTGGATAAAAACTTCCTTTGAAAACTCTGCACCAATTTTTGTTCCATCTTTCGTAACTAGCCATTTTTGACGGACTTTTTATTACATCTTTCGAAAAGTATTGCTGTGCTGAGCCTAAATTTGAAAAGATAACTTACCTGTGATCAATTTTCGCAAAGTTATGCTGGTTTGAATTTGCGACAATTAAGGCGCGATCTATTTTGTGCTATTAACGCGTAAGCGGAGATTCAATCCGTCTTGAAAAGTGTTCCAAATTGGTTAGTGGAAGTTTATTTGCCGTAATTGATTTGTTACTAGGAGCGAAATTTTTCACTTTGTACTTAATAGGGCGTGTGGGTTGATTATTAAAACTTATTATAAAAAATCTCAAATGAAAAAAATATCATTTTATTTTTGTTACATTTTGTTAATTTTTTCATGTTATTACTGCTCCAAAGACTGCTCTAAGTTGAGGCATGTTAGTTAGTAAAAAAAAAAATTTTCAAGTTGACTGGATTTGCTAATGAGTCATAATTGGCGTGCGTCACTTAAGAAGTTTTGTAATTCAAAGTTTTACTCATTGTTATCCCAGTAGCGTTATCGGTCATGTTTTTGCTTGTGTATGCGAAGTGCAGCTTCGCCTCTGTGTAAAAATGTATTATCTAGCTGGTACCTCCAGCTTTATTTGGGCTCCTCGTGTTTAACTATTTCAGCTGGTTTTTGAATGATTAAATGATTGTTCCTTCTCTTTTTTTTGGCTGAAATATTTTTGGTTGAAATATTTCACTGATTTTTTAACTGAGGTAACGGATATTTGCATTATCACCAAGGCAAACACTTGTCATACTCATTCTATCAGCAGAAAGCAGAAACAATGTATGAAATATCATTTTTTTTATTGTTCCGACTTTCGATACGAAAGAAACGGAATATTTGTGCTCGGGGTGGGGTTTTTTTTTCTTACAAATTTCGACTTTTTAACTAGCCATTTTTGACAAAATTTTTTTATATCATTCGAAAGGTATTGTTGTTCTAAGCTCAAATTTGAGAGGATATTTTACCTGTGGTGTTTTTTTGTATAGTTTTGGGGGAGTAAAGATGGCCATTTTGGCCAATTTGGGACAATTAACGCGTGATATAATTCGCGCTATTAACGCGTCAGCGGAGGTTTGATTCCTCTTAGAAATCGTTCCAAATTGAATCAAGGAAGCTACTTTGCCATAGTTGATTAGTTGTTAGGAGCAAAATCTATTCTTTTGAACTTTATTTGGCGTAGGGGGGATGATTTTCGTAGAAAAAATTTCAAATTTAAGAAAAAAAATTTTCGTTTTGTTTATTACATTTAATATGTGAATAATATTTATGTAATTACTGCTCCATAAACCTTAAAAGGCAGTCAGAACATTCAGGGCTTCGCCCTGATGCGAGCAGTCTTGTTTGCTTTTGAAAACATAAGAATTCACAATTGAATTAGAACAGACATCAAGAGAGACTGCGCATACAAAAATTAGTGTAAGGTGATGAGCGCTTTTGATGAAATTAACATGAGTTTTCCGTGTTTTTAGGCCATCACTCTCCAGCCGGCAGGAGTGCGTTTGTGTTGTCCGATGAGTTTGACGTCGAAGTGACACGAGTTCTTTTTGGCCCACGCTTTCTTGGGGGTTACCAGGGACCCATCCTCCTTGGCCGCTATGTGGTGGTAGCTGAAGCGAATTTTGACTAATTGCAACCAGATTTTCCTACTGTTTGAATTGCAACTCAGTCGAAATTTAGGGCAATTCCATTCAAAAAATTTGATGTAGAAAAACTTCTTAAGTTTTAATCAGTTGTTCAACTTTAGACCCTTGTTGTCAACCAATATCATGACCTTTTTCAAGACGCATTCGATGCCAATTCAAATTAAAATAATAGAGAGAGAGCGCGCGCTGCAAAACGCGACTTTTTGGTCAAAATCTCTGCAAAAAAAAGGCCAAAAACTTAATTTTTTGTCCTATTAGTTCAAAAGTTGTGGCAGACAACTTTGGCATAATGGTCTTTTTATAGTGTTTTGTAGCTCGAGTTTGGTTTGGAGCCAATCTTAAAACACTTGTCCACGCCAGATAAAGCAAAGGTTTCATGGAAAATCAACAGAGGCTAAGATTTTTTCTAGGGGGCGGGCTTTCGAAAAATTTTCACAATTTTTGTCATACTTTTTTTAGGTCGGACAAATAGATTTTCCGAGCATTACCAAAACAATTTGAAGACCTTATTTCTACAAAATTTTCTGCGCCCCACGAAAATTTTTTAAAAAAATTGATGAAAAATGCCGTTTTTGGGCACTTTTGAAAAGCGTTTTTTATTGACGCGTTCTCCTCTGCATTATAAGTTTATATTGGGGACAAAGACGCTTTTAATAAAACTTGAGGGTTGGTTGCATTCAGAGGGCCTGTCCTAAAAGTTTTGGAATCTTACTATGGCACTCGCTATCAGTACATCGAGACAAACTCTTAAGACCGAACTTAAACTAGTATCTTTTGGAGTACCTCAGGGATCTATTCTTGGCCCACTTTTATTCATACTATACATAAACGATCATCAAATAGTCACGGGTAACACAGGGGAACTTTTGTAGGCAGATAACACTGAAAGTCCACCAACCAAAAAAAAACTTTTCGCTCCCGCACATAAAACAGCTTTGCTTGAAATAAATGATTGGTCATAATCAAACAAAATGGCACTAAATACCCAAAAAATCTGTACAATGGGCCAATGTCGGGGCCAAAAAGCTGAAAAAAGACCTGCCTTTATTTTTTAAATGACGCCCAAAAAGAAAATGTAGAATGTGTTAAATATCTTGGAATTCATTTCGACAGCAAATTGAATTTTCATCAGCATATTGATCAGGTAAGTACTAAGCGTTTTTCAGTACTGTGGAGTGTTTTTTGTTTGA